TGGAGGCCAAGACCTCTCCTTGTTGCTGCCCCTCCAGCAACTGGCATTCAAAGGTCAAGTTCACTTGGCGCCCCGACTTCTAGTATTATGGGAGAGAAAAAGCTCTCTTTATCCACTTTCTCTACCCCTTACATAAACGTCTATTCTCTTCCCTCTTAATAATCTTCTATATAAACGGAATAAATCTAAAGTCTTACGCTTCAATCTCTTAATCATTCTGGTTGCTTTTTTTCTGCACTGTTTCCAGCTCTGCAATTTCTTTTCTGAGAAACTGTACCAGAACTGTATGGGGTGAACTTGTGGGGGGGGGGGGGGCTCCCTGCAGCTCGGTGGAAGACATCTGCTTGGCATCCAGAAGATCACTGGTTCAATCCCTGTCATCTCCACTTTCAAGGATCAGGTAGTATGTGATGTGAAGACCTCAACCTGAGAACCTGGAGAGCTGCTGCCAGTCTGAGTTGACAATACTGGCCTTGATGCAGCAAGCATATTATTCGGTATATGGCAACTGTGAGTGTTCCTGTATTCCAAATGCACCCACACCTTAAGACGGATACTAGGATATTATGACAGGGACCCAGATTAACACAGTCCTTTTCGAATAATCCCAATCACAAGAGTTTGCGCTGCCGCCGCGCACCCAGCCAATATTTTCATCAAGCTATCCATCACCATTCTTTCTCAGGAAGTCAGACCCTTGCAGTGAAGAAATTTTGCCCCCAAATGCACATCACATTAAACATATACTCAGTCTTATCTGCCACTTTACCCTCTGTTCAATCAGCTGGGAGAGATTCTCTTAGAACTCTCCATAATCTGCTTTGGTCTTGGTGTCGTTCAGCAGAATTTGCTGCTCTTCACCCAGTTGTTAGGAAACTACTCTAAAAGCCCACAACGCACGAGAAAACACTTTACCTTTTCGATCGATATCTATCTCAAATCATCAGTCTCTGCCACCACCATCCTACATCCAAACCTTAGTCCCAAATTCAATATTCAAAATCCCCGGTAACCTTTCCTCAATCATTTCTTAAATCCAGTTCAGCCTTGTCTCTCTTTCTTCTCTTACCTGTTGTCTGATGAACTCTGCAAATTCCCTCTGCAGGGTGTCTTTGGTTTCCAGGTTGGTTAAGGTGATGGCCATCTATCAAGAAAGACAGAGAGACAGAGGAGGGGACAAAAAAGATGGCTAATGGAGCACCTTTGGTTATGCCCCCCTCAATGGTCAATGCCAAAAGAAGCAAAGTTCACATACCAAGCCAGATCTTTGGTTCTTTTTGCCCAGTAGGGTCTACCAGGGTTGGCCTGAGCATATAGGCGAACTAGGCAGTTGCCTTGTGCCCCAAGATTTCATAGTGCCAAGTTAGATGGAGGTGAGTTTCTATATTTATTTCTACATTGTTCACTTCAAATGCCAAGTATATAAAAACAAAGGAACAGGACAGGGGTCTTGTACCTGCACAGCTGGAGCTAAGCCAAATCGACGTTTCTTCAGGAGAAGTGAGAGACACTAAAGAGAGACAAAGGAGAAACACAGCTGGAGGCAGGATGCAAAACCAGACCCCCAAATCAGTAAGAAAAAACACAGCCCAACTGCATAGTACTATTGTTTGGTCCATTTTTAGCCCATTGCTCCTTCAAGGAACCCAAGGTGGCAGACATGACTCTCCCTCCCTCCATTTTACCTTCATAACACCTGTGTAAGGTAGAGGCTGAGACAGAATGACTGGGCCAAATTCCCCCCCCAGTGCATTTCCAAACAAAAGGGGGTTTAAATTGGAGTGTCCCTAGCCCTAGTCTAGCTGTCTAACCAAGGGATCCCCCCCAACGTTGTTGAATGTGTCAGTGCTATTGGAATTCTGAAAATAAGCAGTGGATGCCAAACAAAATGGCTGCCACATGGGTTAGTGGGACCAATCATAAAATGGCTGCTACAGAGGCTGGACTCAATCACAATGGGAGGTTTCAACAAAAGAAATTCAAGGGGTGTGAACCGTCCTGGTTTCAGCTATAGCAAACACAGCGTTCTCTCACCTTTATCTTGGCTGCAAGTCGGGCTCCAGTGAGAGCCTCCCCCTTCTGGTCTCTCTTTAAATAGGTACCAGCTGAACTGGCTAAGCCACTTACATATTCCTTCAAACATTCCCGAAAATCATCATCCATGTCTGGAAGAGACAAAAGAGTAAAGCAAGTCAGGCATGGGAATTCATGAGGATGCAGTGAACGGGAGGACATTTGTGGCCTAGAATCCCCAATGTCATGAAAAGAAAATGAACTAAAAATTAAAGACTGACAACATTGAACGAACAGATTGTAAAAACAATTGGGGCTGCCAATCTTTTTTGGCAGGTTTCTAGTGCATTTAATCACTCTGTCGCAAGCGAAAACTTTAACTGAAATAGTTTATTCAGTGCTGTGTCTCCAGAAGAAATAAGCACCATCTATTGGATTTCTGCCAGGTAAGCACGTATTAAAGACATAAGGCAAGCCACAGGGTTAAACTATAGGTTTTGACTGGAATTTTAATTGGAGAGTCTCCTACTGGAACACAGCCCACCCACTGGTTCACATTACTTGGAATGCCCCATTTTTATGGGCCAATCCCCCCCAGAGCATTTTTGGCATTTGAAAAGGTGTGTTTGGGAAGGAAGGACAAACAAGAGTGCCTCAGCCTGTAGGAGCCTTTGTGTTGCCCAGATTTTAGTCAAGGACGCCGTGTGACCCTGCTGCGTCAACTGGGACAAAATCTGATTGGGATTAGCTCTCTGACATAGGGGAAGAAAGGGCTTAACCCTTCCCCCTCCTTCAGGGTTTTGCTGATCAAAATGGATCCCATCTCTGCACTGTTATTAGGTCAGGAAAGGGAAAAAAGAATGGGCAGAGAGCCAGCCTGTCTTTTCCCCCTTCAAAGGCGGTGGGGTTGGGGAAAGAAAGGGACAGGGTTTCATTTAGCAAAACTGTGAAAGAGGGAAAAGGTTAAACCCCTTCTCCCCTCCTACACCATGGCCTTCATCCATGGTCTTCACCCATGTAGCAGCTACGAGTCCTTTAGAAATGCTACCTGATCACGGTTCCCATGTGTTCACAAGATTAAATTTCTGCAACTGCTAAATAGGAGGAGTGGAAAAGAGGGAACACAGTACTTGGAAGACTTCGGCCTTCAATCCTACATTCTGGAGTTTACTGCTCTTCACTGCAGGGTCTGAGCACTCAGAAGTTGCACTTCTTAACTGAGCCAGTGAGCATAGTGCTTTTAAGAGCTATGAGCTGGAAACCCCAAATTTAAATTCCGTCCCGGAAGACTCTCAATGGGTGATCCAAAAGAAGCTGGCTCTCTGTTTTCCATCTGCAATAATGATACTAAGAGTGGTCTACCTTACAGGGTTGTTAAGGAGACTGTGCATGTGAAATATGTTGAGCATTTAAGGAAAGATACCATCAACATTAAAAAAAAACCACCCAACTCCAACCAGAAACAGTAATGGCACGGCCCTCTGAGGCCAGCAAGGGTTGCAGCTGTGCAGAAGTTTGTGCAAGAACTTCTGAAGTATCACAGAAAGTGAAGAAAGAGGACTTTCATGGTGATCAGAAAAGCCAAGGAAATGCCACCACTGATCTACAAGGGAGTCTACACAAAATCGGGGCGGAATACCTTTTATTCAGGACCAGTGAAACATTACAAAGTAGTGAGCAAGCTTTTGCATTCTACAGAACACTTCTTCTGGCTGGACGGCCCTCTGAGGCCAGCAAGGGTTGCAGCTGTGCAGAAGTTTGTGCAAGGACTTCTGAAGTATCACAGAAGGTGAAGAAAGAGGACTTTCATGGTGATCAGAAAAGCCAAGGAAATGCCACCACTGATCTACAAGGGAGTCTACACAAAAGCAATCGGGGCGGAATACCTTTTATTCAGGCCCAGTGAAACATTATAAAGTAATGAGCAAGCTTTTGCATCCTACAGAACACTTCTTCTGGCTGGGTGTTCAGTGTGAAAAAAACACAATAAAAATACTGCTGGGAGATTTTCCAGACATTGTAGCAAAGGCCCACATTCTACAGTTTGTTAACACCTGAAAGGTGGAGTACGGGTGGTGTGGTGGGCTACCGACTCATGCATGCTTGCAGGAAGTAAGTCCCACTGAATTCAAATGGGGCTTGCTTCTGAATATCCAAGCATCGGGCCCGGCTGTAAATTAGGTTAGACTACGCTAGTGCTAAGGATACTAGGCATGCTAAGCCTGATTTATAACGTCCTTTTCCTGAATTGGAAAATGCAGGTGATACATATGCAGTATAACCAGGAAAATCAAGAGTTCCATTTAACCAAGTTTCTTGGACCAGAATAATATGAAAACTCTGTAGATATTTACAGGTTCTTGTAATCTACAACTCCAGCCCGAAATATTCCAGGATATGAATTTGAAAAACTGAGTTGGAGATAGTCAATTTGATTTGACTTTCACATTAGAAGGATTTGAAGGGGGGGATAAATTAAGATTAACAGGTCCTCTGTTTATTAAAACGGTCGGTTCTAGGGGAGGTTGATTATGCTTGGGGTGAAAACTGTCCCCAAGATCAAAGGCCATCGAAGGTGGATCAAGAACCAACATTGGTGAGTCAACAGGGACAGGACTACAGCCCTCAATCAAAGCCTTGGAGGTGGTAAGGTAAAGGTAAAGGTTCCCTTGCTCGAAAGCCAGTCGAATCCGACTTTAGGGTTGCGGTGCTCATCTCCGTTTCAAAGCCGAAGAGCCAGCGCTGTCTGAAGACCTTTCCGTGGTCATGTGGCCGGCATGACTAAGCACCAAGGCACACGGAACGCTGTTACCTTCCCACCGAAGTGGTCCCTATTTATCTACTTGCAATTCTTGCTTTCGAACTGCTAGGTTGGCAGGAGCTGGAACTAAAGATGGGCGCTCACTCCATCATGCGGCACCCGGGTCTCGAACTGCTGAACTACCGACCTTCCACAGCCTGCAGTTCAGCATCTTAACCACTTGAGCCACCGCAGCTCCTCTTGGAGGTGGAGGTCTGACTAATTTTCCTCAATGAGGTTAGTAGAGTTTGAAGGTGATTTAACAATTCCTCCTGTTCCACCAGTGTCAGGGAACCAAACGAAGACAAGAGATTAGCTTCAATCTCTTCTCCTGACCCCTTAAGATTTACATTAAGGTTAGACTACGCTGGGTTTAAACAGATTTCAGGTTGCATCAAGAGCTACTGGGATGGAGAAGCAAGGAATGATTGCTATCCCTATGGAGACGTGAAAGACGGCAACTGTTCAAGTCTGCCTCTGATCAGAAACAGATCCAAATGACTGATGGCTTCGAAATTATTACCAAAGGGACGACAGTCTTTCCTTGCTTCTGCATCCCAATAGCCCTCGATGCACCTTAAAAACCATTTGTCACCCATGTCATCTGATCTAATTAAGTCTGGCATAACTGCTATTGCGGGAATTTTCACACTTTATCAATCTTTTTCACTTTCCCTTTTGGTTTGCTGTTCGAACTGAACAACCAGCCTGAAGAATTCTGGAGCACTTGAAAGGTTGCTCACTACTTTGTTTCCCACTGATCCTAACAAAGGTATTGCCTTGCTGATGTGTTGGTCTCCCCCCTCCCAGGACCTAGCGAATCAGAAGAAATGTCTGTCTATGTAAGGAGAATTAATGGAACTGATGCTCCACCTAGTGGAAGCCTGGGGAAAAGGTTCTGAGTTCCAGCAGAGCTAAAACAGATCACAGACATTTAGGTCCCTTTTTGCATTACAGTTCTAAACTGGATGTTATTTGTTGTTGGCCCGATTTAGAGTACAGTGACACAGGCACGGGGGTTTCATACAGCAAATTTCCTTCCGTTAATGAGCTGTCTCTGAAGTGCTAAACAGTGCCGCTTCCCCCCCCCCCGCCGCCCTTTTTCACTGCATGATCTTCCCTGGACTTTTAAAAAACGTTCTAAGGTGAGCACTGTAGCGCTAAACCACTATAGCCCTTCAGTGCTCAATGGAGTCAATGCAGCTCAATGGATTTAGCGCTACAGTGCTCACTGTAGAATGTAAAAAAAGTCCGAAGATTGTGCAGCAAAAAAGGGCAGACCTGTAGGAAGTGCGATGGGCATTCTAAACAGCACATCGCAGTGATTCAGAAGCGCAACAACGGCATTGAAAATGGAAGAAAGCAGCTTCCTTCAGAAGCTGCTCAACCACGCTTTGCTAACCTGTCGCAAGCAGGTTTGTATGAACAGGGAAATCAACTCTGCTAGCAGCCGGTTACTAAAACGGGTCTGTCTGAAATGACAGGAAAAATTCAAAGGCAATTTGAAAAGGATCTAGGAGATGCAGGAATCCGGGAAGAAAAGGACAGTGAGACAGTCTTACCTGCCAGGGTACCCTCAGTTCCCATCAACAGCTTCTTGCCTGGGAAGGGCATCAAGTAACAGCGAGTGCTGCTGCTTTTGAGGGTCTCCAGTGCTCGGGGGTGCCTGCAAGGATTAGACTCCAGCCTCTAAAGATGAGGGGGGGGAGAGAGAATTAGATTGAGCAATCTGTGATTACCATCCAGAATCAGGTCTTCTTCTTGTTGTGGATGGGAGATGCGCCTCTAGAGATCCCCCTGTTCTATCTAGTATCTCCACCTTTCCTCCAAGTAGCTCAAGGCAGCATATAGGGTTCTCCTTTCCCCATTTGTTCCTTGCAACAACCCTATGAGGTAGGTCAGGCTAAGTGAGAGTCACTAGCCTATGGTCACCCAGTGAGCTTTGCAGCAGAAATGAGATCTGAACCTGGGCCTCGCAGATCCTAGTCTAACTTCTATACCGCACTGGCTTCCAGTGCTTATCCCTAATTCCACAATGCCCAACCAAAGCACACCATCTTGCTCACTACTTTGTCACGTTTCACAACCAATCTGCCCATCACAACTTTTACCTGTATGGCTGCATGGAGGTATTCCTGGCCTGCCTGGAGTCCATAAACAGGTGGGAAAAACCAGTCACGCACCAAGATGTCGAGTTGCTGCAATGGAGAAATTGCTTTGGTCCCACATTCTCAGAGTTGCCTTCTCCCTATGCCACTCTCAACCAATGTCCCCTCTAAGCTGTGGAATCTTGTGAGCAAAAATTCTACTTTGTGAGCTACTGCCATTAAAGTTGTGAGTGAGCAATTTGGCTACTGCATAAATTAGTTTGCTCTGGAGCCATCATTCCTGAGCTGAGACAAAAACCTATGAGCTGGAGGCTAAAAAACTGTGAGCTAGCTCACACTAACTCAGCTTAGAGGGAAAACTGCTCTCAACTGTGGCCTGTCCACATGACTAGTGGGGTTCATGGTAACAAAATGAACAACTCACGAGTCCTAGCTCCCAATCCCCTGAATTAGCAAAACACCTTGATGTGCTACCATAAGCACTTGAAAAGTGACATTTGTGAAGATGTGTGCATATGAGAGCCGATGAGCATTGCTAGGTTCTCTGTAAGCAAGAAGCCATCATGCACAGAGACTTCTGATGGCTCCAGTGTGCTCTGACAGCGCTGTCAATAGGTTGCCAAGAATATGTTTCTGACAGATTCATTGCTGCATTCGTTGGTGCCCAAAGCTCAGATAACAAGATACTCTTGGTGCCTGTTCCTCAGGGATGGATCGTTTCATGGTGTGGAGCAAGATGGACAGGAAAATGTTTCTCTCCCTCTCCCCAAATACTACAGCTTGGTAGTACCGCCTGAAGCTGATAGGCTTCATCCAACACACAATTAACTTTGGGAACTCACTGCCACAGGATGCAGTGATGACGGCCCTGACCTGGATAGCCCAGGCTAGCCCGATCTCGTCGGATCTCGGAAGCTAAGCAGGGTCGGCCCTGGCTAGTATTTGGATGGGCGACTTCCAAGGAATCCCAGGATGATGATGCAGAGGCAGGCAATGGCAAATCACCTCTGAAAGGTCTCTTGCCTTAAAAACAAGTCTAGCTCACCACCTAGTGGTGCATAACGCTAAAAAGAGCAAGAACTTCCAGCAGCCAGACAATCTTAGGATCTCTTGGCTATTCTACACACAATGCCATATGATAATTAATTAGTTAAGCAGTGATGATTACTGACTTAGGTATCTTGGCTTTGATAAATATTTTGGGGATAGGCTTATCAGTGGCTGTTAGCTGTAATGGCTGAATTAAACCTCCCTTTTCAAAAGTAGTATACCACTCAATACCCATTGTCTCTAAGGACTTCTAAACAGGATGCTGGATTAGATGGACCATTTTTGTATGATCCAATAGAAGGCTTTTCATGTTCTTATGGACCTGACCTGTGCGGGCTATCAGCTTCCTGGAGAGATTTGTATGCTTATGGGTTGTTTTTTAAAAAATAAAATAAAATTAGAGGGTTTCATCGGGTTTTCTCATCAGATGTGTTATTTTGGGACTCATCATGACCCACCCAAGCACAAACAGACAAATTATACGAGAGGAAAAAAAACAGACAAAAGGGAGAGAGGAGCAGAGAGGAACTTCATTAGCATTGGTGTGTGGGAGAGAAAGCGAAGGGTTGAGAGCGAGCGAGAGAGATGTGGGTACCAGGCGGAGGAGGATCAGGCCGGAGGAACTGGTTGCAGAGATGGGAGTTCAGGAACAAAAAGGCTCTTTCATCGAATGTTGAGACAGAGGGGATGAATGTGATCATGGGGGGAAGAGAAGAACATGGCCTGATTTGTAAGGGAGGGAAATGGAACAGTTGCTGCTCTTTACCTGAAAGGGCTTCAAGCCGCAGGCTATCCCCACCATCTCAGCTGCATACACAAACATCTGTGGGGTAGAAGAAGCTGGTGAGTCTGGGAGATCTGATTTTCACTCATCCCTGCCCCCCCCTCCAGACTCAATCCCCTCTCAGCTTTTCAGATCAGAGAGTATCTTGCGGTATTTACAATTATGCTCCATCTGGATCCTGCCCTCGCAAGCGTGGAGCACCAAACATCGGGTCCTCTGATGGTATTTTTTCGTTAACCCAGTGAGGTAGGGCAACTGAGAAAGAGTGATGAGTCTGACAGCCATACTAGATATAACGGCAGCCACCACCCACGGTTGCCAACGCTATTTTAGAGAACCATTCGGCCATTTAAAAATGCTGCGAAGACTGGGCCCACACCAGGCAATCTTGTCCCCCACCTATCTTTTCAGGCACTGGAACAGACTGGGGATGGGGGCTGTTTTGGCTCCTGAAAGTTTGCGGATGGGAGGAGGAACAAAACCACCTGGTCCCCGTGCTGCAGACCTGATCATGATTGGGTCCTCGCGGTGTCTTTTAAATGGCTGTATTCTTCTCTAAGATGGCATCAGCAGCCATGGTGTCGGAACCTTGGCCACCATCACATTTAAGTCTAGCCCTAAGGCAAGCTTCACAGCTAAGCAAGAATTTGAACTCTGGCGTCTGTAGCCCAAGACTCTCTCCAGTCCCTCTCAATGTGAGAGATCTAGGCTGATGCCCCAATCGTGGCCCATTTTGGGAGACCCCTACCCTCCAGGTTGGCCTGACCATATAGGCAAAAAAGGTTTTAATGGGCACCAGACCAGACAGAAGTGAATTTCTTTTATTTAGTTGTAAAGTATGTATCTCTATGTCATCTCCAGCCTTCTCATTTTTCTCTACATTGATTGGTGTGTATGTGTGTGTTATAGTTTGTTATGGTGCCAAAACCCCTTGGGCTCCCCCACCCCCAACCTGGCATATCAGGGCAGCGAAAAACTAGAGACAGGATGATGGCTGACATCCACTTGAAACAAATAAAATTTCCTGTGAGATATGGCTCAGTCCACCCTTTTTTCTCAATCTCCGGACCACCTTGGGGGACCTATTTTCCCCCCACTGGTCAGAATGCCTGGTGACTTTAGAGGGTTGATTGCCCTCCTGGTGTGCGGCTTGGATCACTTGCTTGAGCCACTCTTTGCAAATCGCTTTTCACACTACCACTGGCAATACACAAGCTCTCTGCTCGTGACATATCGGAATCTGGATTGTGTGGACTGATTCTATGGCTGCTGATGGACAGAATTCTGTTTTTGTGCAGGGGAGACTAGGCCAGATTAGGGATAGCTGAAATTTTGGCCTGTAAAGGTTTTGGTGTGCCAGCAAACAAAACAGGGTGGGAGAGATGAAGGTTAACTTGACCAGACCCAGTAGAGCCCAGAGGCACTGCCAACACCTCAGGGGCTCACCGCAGCTCCTTGGGCACAGAACTGGCTTAGTGTGCCAAGCAAACTGGCCTGGTGTGTCACTGTTCATCACACCAGCCGGGGCTTGCTTAGCTCTTGGCTAGATGATCTTTGATCTCTTCCAGTTCACTGAGTCTGGCCCATCCTGGAAAACTCGCCTGATTTCCATACCCCTTCCAACCACTTTGTTCCTACCCTTTATAGCCCCTCACTCACTTCCAAGTATTCCAGATCCGTGTCATTCATCTTGTTGCACACATTGAGTATCTAGAAGACAACAGAAGGCGTCAACAGGGGTGTCAGAAGTGATGAACCACCTGATGAAAAGAGATTAGAAGAAGACGCATGGGAAAATAGAGCCTGGTGGGGAAACGCACCTGATAGGAGCTGAGCAGCATGGAGAAGGCAGAGAGTTTAGTGCTAGCTTCCTTGCTCCTCTCCAGATCCAGAGAACCCTCAGTGTCAATCAAGAAAATGGCTACCTAGAGAGAGGGAGAAGATCATCGCTGGACTCTCAACGATATACAAGAATAGAGATAGATTTCGCCAACAAGCTTTATAGCTCCTTCTTCTTGGCTAAATATGGGTGTGTAAAAAGGTAAAGGTTCCCTTGCTCGAAAGCCAGTCGAGTCCGACTCTAGGGTTGCGGTGCTCATCTCCGTTTCAAAGCCGAAGAGCCAGCGCTGTCCGAAGACGTTTCCGTGGTCATGTGGCCGGCATGACTAACCACCAAGGCGCACGGAACGCTGTTACCTTCCCACCGAAGTGGTACCTATTGATCTACTTGCAATTTCTTGCTTTCGAACTGCTAGGTTGGCAGGAGCTGGAACTAGAGACGGGAGCTCACTCCATCATGCGGCACCCGGGTCTCGAACTGCTGAACTACCGACCTGCCACAGCCTACAGTTCAGCATCTTAACCACTTGAACCACTTGTGTAGGAAGCATTATTTACTGAGGGATATTTCAAGAATATTTCAGTTTTTTTATGCCCCTCCCCTTTTGTGGAGTGCTATGTATATGAATTTGAGATGGTGAGTCCACTGCTCTGGCCTCTTCCTTTCCCCCCTTAGTTTGTATGTGCATCTGGAGTGTTTCCTTTTCTCTGGTTGGCAGGTCCCAGGTATCTCAGGGAAGGAGGGTGTCGAAGAGGTCCCTCTCCTAAGGCATGGGGTAGATTCCAAAATATTTTGTGGGGGCAATTTTCTGATCAAACCTGAGATGTAATGTCAACCTTCCCTGCCCTGATTTCCTATTGATACTCCCCTTGATTGTATAAGTTTCTGTTTTAATGAATTTTACTGGTACAGCTCACTCCACACCCCAGAATATATTTTTTTCTTTCCCTTTCTTTTCCTTTTGGAGTAATATGTATTATTTTTATATTAAAAACAACATAAAAAAGAAAATTTTATGCCACCTTTCTAGAGTCCAGCTTGAGGTGGCTTACAGTAAAAATAATGAATTCTCAAAACACACACACACACACAAAAACCATTAAAACATGCCCAGGGAGATAAACACAACTTAAAAGACTATCCCTACAAGAAACTTCAGACAGAAGTCACTGTCTGCTCGGGCACCTTGCCAAACAGTGAAATCTTAGCCATCAGGCAGTGATTACAGCCAATGTAGGAGGGTGAGACCCTGACCTGGACAGCCCAGGCTAGCCTGATAACTGTCAGATCTCGGAAGCTAAGGAGGGTTGGCTTTGGGTAGTATTTTGATGGGACACCTCCATGGAAATCCAGGGTCATGACCAGTGTTCCCTCTAAGCTGAGTTAGTGTGAGCTAGCTCACAGTTTTTTTAGCCTCCGGCTCACACATTTTGGTCTTAGCTCAGGAAGGATGGCTCCACAGCAAACTAATTCATGCAGTAGCCAAATCCCTTGCTCACAACTTTAATGCCAGGAGCTCACAAAGTAGAATTTTTGCTCACAAGACTCCACAGCGTTGGTCGTGACTATGGATGTGCAAAAAACAAAACAAAAACACCACCAGTATTTTTTGGTTCGGGTCAACTGGACCCAAAAAATTTAGGTATTTCTGAAAAATCCTGGATCCCAATACTGGTATGGTATTCAGATCTGGGACTTTTTGGAAATCCTGAATTTTTTCAGGTCCAATAGACCTGAGAAGAAAAATACCAATTAAAGCCAGCCCAACCCTGGGGCTGGCTTGGCTTCTCCTGCAGTGTGGTCTTCTCCTGCAGGAGAAGCTGGCCCCAGGATTTGCATGCAGTGGGGAGGCAAGAGAGGATCAGCTGGGGCAGCAGGAGCTGAGAGCACCACTCCGCCTCAGCTGGGGCTGGCTCCTCTTGCAGCTCAGTTTAAACCAGCCATTCAATATAGCTGAATATAGCCGAACAAAAGCAATATATATCAGCTTTATTTGGGATCGGCTATACTGGTAGCTGATCAGATTCTCTGATCTGTATTCAGGTTAAATAATACCTGAAAAATACGCTAGTCGTGACAAGGAGGCAAGTGATGGCAAATCACCTCTGAACATCTCTTGCCTTGAAAACCCCACAGGTTCACCATAAGTAAACCGTAACTTGACAGCAAAAAAGAAAGAAAGAAAAAGAGAGAGAGAGAGAGAGGGAGGGAGGGTAGGTCAAAAGAAAAGGAAGTGTTTGTCCAAAACATCCTGCCACAGGATGTAGAGATATTCACATAGGAGAGGGGGACACAGCACAACAACTTTTTCGAGGGCAAAGACAACCCAAGACATTTTGGCGACTGAGGCTGAAAATCCAAATTTCATCCACCCCTCTGCAGTACAAGTGCAAATGTAAATTAAACAAACATTTGCTGCCATTTGGATAAACCTCCTTTCATGGACAGGATTTCCCCTGATAATCCAGAAATGGGTATCACTACTGTGAATTTCCTTGCAGTATTTGGTTGGCCACTGACAAACGTATATGGCTTGGCCAGCATGGCAGTTCTTATGGCCAGTTCTCAGTCGTAAGCAACAGGCCATCGAGCCTTAGGCTAGCTCTGATGAAGCCTGGTTCTCTTGTGCTCATATACTTTGGTCTTTTCTTTGTAATTGCTGCACATTTTCTTTGGTCTTAAGTTCCTGGAAGTACCCTAAAGAGAACACAGGCCCCTCCCCCTATAACTGTCACTCTCTCCAGTCCCCACCCCCCTTAGAAGGTTCAGCTTTGCTTTAACCTGGAGGCAAGAGCTCCTATTACTCATGCTCAAAAGAGAGGATGAATGTGTTGTGGAAGCCCACGACAAATGGCATCCAGAAAAATGTAAGTGGGACCTATAACGGAGCCCTCTGCCATTTTCCAATGATTATCATCTTTGCAACTTCAGTATTTCATTAATTCTGGTCTGAAACAAAGACCTTTGTTTATCTCTTAACTCCTAATCAAGTGAAATCTCCTATTTGCACCATTGTATCTTATTATGTTTTTCTGCAGTCTGCTTTATGGCAGAAAAGAATGCTTCAGGCCAGTTCTACTGATTTCCAGCAGCTTTACAGCATTGTGGTCCATTACTATAAACACTGCTTTCTGGCAAGTGCTGTATTTTCAGCCCAAAGATTAAGGAGTAAACTATGCCCAAATTCAAGCAGAGATTAAATGTTGCTGTGATGACCCCTTATCTGGGGAGGTCTGGTTTCCCTTTAAAGTGTTCTTTATGTTTTGTTCTACTGGGTATATCTGGCTGCCACCAGGAAATTTAAGGCTTTCCAAACTTTTATACTTCACTTTAGCTATTACTGGGTAGGTAGGTCGAGTGTAAGGCTTATGGGGAACTATGTGGTCCTGGGAAGTATTTCTTTCAGAGCTGATATACTTAAATAAAAGAAGATTTATTGAAGTAATTCATATATAAAAGAGTAGAACAATGTAACTAGTACGGTTTAAATACTGAACACATGCTTGGTGTTTCACCCACAATCTGCTCCCTTATTGACAGGGATCTTTCAGGTAACTTTGTAACTCTTCAATTGAGCTTTCATTTACTTTTTCCTATTCTCTCAGAACAACCTCGGCTGTTCTTAACTGCTTACACACAGAACTGGTTCTCACTTCTTTCATACACATAACTTAACTGAACTTCTGCTTCTCTCACAGAACTCAGAACTCAACTGTTATATCACACACAAGACTGCTTCTCCCACAGACCTCAGAACGAACTAACTTAACAACTGTCTTTATCAACTGTCAAACCTGTAACTGTCACTCCTAACAGACATACATATTCATCCACTCAGAACCACTTCCAAAACCCCTCCCCCTCTCTGTCAATCACCAATCACACCACTCTTGTCTCTTCAACCACTATAATATATCTCAGCCATGCAACCAAACTTTTAAAGAGACACACACACATATACAAGGAATCGTTACAGTTGCTATTTAACGGCACCCAATGTAGGTTTTGCTCTGAACATCCCAAATAGCTTTTGTATAATTTCTGGTTGAGCACCAAGGTGTCGCAGATAGCGTCTGCTGTCCCCACAGCAAAATTTGCCTCAACTATTCATCCCTCTTCTCCTTTCCCCTACTTATCTCCACTACCCAAACACATACCTTCCCTTGTTCACTGGTAATCCAAAATGGCTGACTCCACAACCACACCCCTTTGGTGGTGCTGTTAGGCCCAGGTCGCCACTCAAATCCTGTCAGTGGTTCATCTTCCTGGCCCATCCATGTTGCTTCCTCTGCTCCCTGCCCACAAGAAAAAAATGAGGAATGGGGACTCAGTTTTAAAGCAAGAAGGGCCTTGGGTACCAGGATGGTTGTGATCTCTTGGCTAGGAATGCTGTATAGGGAAAAGGGATCCTGAAAAGCTGGTGCTTCATCCCCAACGTGAAGAGGGGTGTGGGCATAGTTGTGGCTTTTAATGGAAGACTTCACTATTGCAGGGATCTTTGTCTTTTTTTATGTTCATATTTTTAAACAGAATTTCTATTGAACTCCTGCAACACACACTCTGGAGTGTTCCTGTTTTCGCTCCTGCTTTAAAACCACGCAACAGGAACTGAAATTTTTAAGGACGTTTTAACAGCAAGAGAAAGGACAGAAGTAAAATATTGCCCCACACAGGGGGAGTCGAGATGTGTGGGGAGACTGTGCCAATGAGGAAACAGCATCCAGGGTGGACAAAAATGTCCAGTCTTTTGGGGAGGTTATTTACCAGGTGATGTTACTTACCTCCCTGCCATGAAAAGTTTCAGGGGCCCATTCACACACATTAAGCCTCTATTAAAGGGACAGGACATATTTCTCCAGGCCTTTTGGCAACCACACCAGGGACTGCTTTGTAGGGTTCATGTGTGTAATCCTAAAGCATGTTGATTCAATGCACTAACCAGGACAGGAGATACCAAAATGAACTATGCATGATAGCTTCAGATACAAATCTGCTGACAAATCAGCTACTGCAAGGCAGTCCTTTCGATGGCATACACCAGGTCGCTTTCTCACGCTCACCAAGTTTTGAAGCCTCCGCAGGAGGAAGTTCTGCAGGAAGGATTTGCCACAGCGTTGCTCCCCAAAGATGGAGACCAAGCAGACAGGAGCGTCCTTCACTTCTCCCTGCTCCAAGCAGCTGCTCAGGGCCTCCTCATCCAGACACAGATTCCCTTCATCATCCAAGCCCACCAGCTGCACCGCTTGCCCTGCTGACTGCAGTGTAGCTGCTGGCTCCTCCTGAAAGAGATGAGACCCTGAGAGTTACTGTCTCTCTGTCTAACCTACCTCACAGGGTTGCTGTGAAGAAACAAGGTAATAGAATTATAGAAGCGGCTTTAGGTCCCCACTGGGAAGAAAAATGGGATATATTTGAGGTAAATAAGTAAAAAATATAGCTGAGAATGGGGAGCAGATAAAAGGTTGATTGATTTGTGGGTGAGGAGAGGTGGAAGCAGGCAAAGGGGAGAGGATATGGGGACTGCCAGAAGGAGGGAAAGGGAAAATAGGCCCCGGTCACACGGGCCGGAAAATGCAGGGGGGAAGCGTGGCTGTTTGCCCCGGAGCAAACTAACGTGCGACCACCGGATCACACGTCCTGCCGACGTCCCGTGGTTCAGGGGGAGGTGCCGATCACACGACAATCCTGCGGCGTGGCAAAGAAGCGGCGCGATCACAGCAGCAATGGCTAGGCGCCGCTGCCATGGCAAACGGGGTTGTGTTTTGTTTTTAAACCGAAGTGTGCGCATGCGCTGTTGGGTGCTTGTGCGCATCCCGTGGAGACTTGGGAAAAAAATCTTTTTGCGATGGGACATGGGCGGGCGCTGGATACCACGAACTACCACCGGAAACGTGATCAGATGCCCGCTCTTGCCCCGCGGTTTCCGGAAACTAGTACCTCGGAGGTACTAGTTTTTTATGCCGCATCTTCGGCGGGAATATGTCGCATCTTCGGCGGGAAGCCTCGGGTTCGCCACGGGAGCTCTACGCTTCCCAGATGTTGCGGTGTGATCGCGCCTGGAAAATCCGCCTATCTTCCGTCTCTGTAGCGTGGCTAATGCTCTGTGTGACCGCAGCCATAGTGTGGGGAGCGGGATACGGGGAAAACTGAGGTATCCCCATAAGTTCTTGTGGTTACCCAACAACGCAACTGGGACTAGAAGCCAGCAAAAGACAACTGGCCTGGTGGCTGGCACTGCACAACTCAGTCAGAGTTTTCTTGGCTGCCAGGGGAGAGAAGCAGGCCCGTAGCCAGGATTTTGTGGCTTGTGGGGCAAACATTTTTTCTGGTGGGGCTGCCGTTATTTTTATGTCAGCTCCAATCCGCACCCAAGCCTGACTGCTGGTGGCCACCAATGTTCCCTCTAAGCTGTGGAGTCTTGTGAGAAAAAATTCTGCTCTGTGAGCTGCTGGGATTAAAGTTGTGAGCCAGCGATTTGGCTACTGCATTAAATTAGTCTGCTCTGGAGCCCTCCCTTCCTGAGCTGAGACACGAATGTGTGAGCCGGAGGCTAAAAAACTGTGAGCTGGCTCACACTAACTCAGCTTAGAGGGAACAGTGGTGGCCACCCCTCTCCCTCCCCTCCTGCAAGATTTAAAGGGCTCTTCAGCTGATTGGCGGGGAGTTTGTGGCCCACCGCTCAGCTGGAGGGCCCTTTCAGTCTTGCAGGAAGGAGGGAGAGGGGTGCGCTCCTTTAAATGCTTTTGAGAAGAAGCGGGGGGCCCTTGCGCACAGCCCTCCCCTCAATTCTTCTAAAAAAACCTTATGGGGTTGGCCCTTTAAGGAAGGGGGCAGAGCCCCGAATAGCCTCACTGTAGCTACGGGCCAGAAGAGAAGGGGGAAAAAAGCTGTAGACAATGGTAGGTTGGCTGGTGGGTGGGTGGGAAGGAGAGAAGGAAGGAGAAAAATGGGAGCGTCTATGGGGGCCACCTGGAAAAGAAAGAGGAAATATTGGGGAGAGCAAAATGAGATGACCCTCTGAAAACCCTTGTGATAGTGAACTGTGCGGATGTCAACAGCTGCACAATGAGCCGGATACTGACAAAGTAAGGGGACTCCTCAGATACACAGAAAAATATGACTGAAATTAACAAAATGTAAGCACATAAGAAGGGCCCTGCTGGATCAGATCAGTGACCCATCTAGTGCATCATCCTGTTTCACACAGCGGCCAAGCAGTTGCCCTGGAGGGAAAAACAAACAGGGCATAGAGGACAAGGTGCTGATGCTGCCTCCTAGCACTGGTATTCAGAGGTTTGCTGCCTCTGAATATGGAGGTTCCCTTTAGCGACCAAGGCTAGTAGCCACTGATGGACATGTCCAATGTTCCCTCTAAGCTGTGCAGTCTTGTGAGCAAAAAGTCTACTTTGTGAGCTACTGGCATTAAAGTTGTGAGCCAGCGATTTGGCTACTGCATAAATAGTTTGCTCTGGAGTCATCCTTCCTGAGCAAAGACAAAAATGTGTGAGCTGGAGGCTAAAAAACTGTGAGCTAGCTCACACTAACTCAGCTTAGAGGGAACACTGGACATGTCCTCCATGAATCTGTCTAATATTCCCATTTAAAAGCTATTTATACACACAGGCATATCACTGTGTCCACTGGCACTGAATTCAATGAGATCTGCCTACCGGTTCTCTTTCCATCTCCAGCAGAGGCATCTGTCTGATTTTTTCCACCAGGTTTCGCAACCGAGTGTCTAGCTTCATCCTCTCACGGCTGCAGGGCGAGCGGCATTCAGGGCAGCGATACCCATGGGGTGAGAGCCCATTCCAGTGGGCAGAGAGGCAGACCCTGCAGAAATTGTGCCCACAGTCAATGGAGACTGGGTCCTCCAAAATTTCCCAGCAGATGGAGCATAGGATGTCCTCTTGTAGGTCATGGATCATGCCTCCTGGGGGCTTCTTTGAAGGGATTGGGGATGAAGTCAGCCTGCAAGGCATACAAGGGAAGGACATAATAACGGACACACGAATGGGGATTTGTAAGGAATTGCTGGGGTAGGGGAGTAAAAGGAATAAACGATTGACAAGCTCAAGGAGTTAAAGTAAAACTTAAGACCCTAAATGTTAGGGACAGAACAAAGGGGGTTTAGCCTAAGGCTTCCTAAAAATGTGAGTATTGAGGGGTGAAGGGAATCCAGCACCTCCAGCTATATACTTAGCTCTAGTGGTAGCAAAGCCTTATGTGGTTAAGCAGAGGATTCTGGGAACATTTGATTCTCTGGACAGGGATTCAGAGAGATGCAGGAGAACCATTTGGGAGCCCAATGTATTTTGTATTCTACAACAAACAGTTTTTACTCTGAGAAAGGCAGAAAGGAAGAGAAAGAAAAACGATTGTGTTACACTTTACTTCTATTTTATGGCTTCTTCCTTCCCACCCTTCCCCACTCATTTCTGGTAATCAGAAACTGGGGGAAAACATGTACTATCAACTACCCCAAGTCGTCCCCCCTCCCCCCCAGATTTTCACAATTTTGAAACTTCTCAACCTTCTACATTTCCCCTTTTTTTTCTCTTTTGGTCTTGTGTAACTCCATTTTGGAGAGGGAGGGGTGGCTCAGTGCTGTGCTTCTAAATCGAGACGCCTTGGAGCTGGTGCTTTGGCTGCGTAGGTCTTACTTCCTAAAATAGGGGCAGTCTAGCTGAGGTTGTCCTGTGGTGAGGGAAAGGAGGCCCAGGAGATGCCCAGTCAGAAGATGGCACACCAATCTCGCGGGCAGACACAGGGACGGAGGGAGAGCGAATTCTTAGTACTTGTTATGAAAACCCTAAATCCCACGGGTGGTATGCATACCACTGGATAGAACCATTGCTCTGGATTAATGGCATGTGTTAACTTTATTGTTTCGGCAACACGCCTTCCTTTCTGCAGCCATTCCTGTCTATTAAGGGCAGAAAAATGGGATATAAATTTTGTAAATAAATAAATAAATAAAAATAAATATTAGAAGTGTCCATTTGGAGGTCATTTTGAGAGGCCTATCTGGTATTGTCACCAGTCAGTTTTTTTACCTGCTCCATCTCCTGTCTTTAAGTGACAGAACAATCAGTTACATTTAAATAAATAAACTTCAGCACAGGTTTCTCTAGGAGAGACTGGGAAGGACTCACCTCAGCTATGTTTCCCTGCTGATTTCCACCTATATTGTATGACTTTTGCACGCGTGGGTTTGTATCCCATCCTTGTCGCCAATATTAAATCCTGGGTTCAAGACGCATTGTAGTGAACAGCTCTACTTTATTATGTGATTTCAGGAACAAGACCGAAAACTGCAGGGCGACTGCCCTGTTTAAGTAGCATGCAAAACCCACACCCAAACACAACCCCACTCCCAACGATAGGCTATTTACATAACATTGTCTCCTCATTGGTTACCTCTGTTTGCATAACACTGCCTTATCATTGGTTACCTCTAGAATCCTGGTGGTCTATTATTCCTGAGCTCCAAGCTCAGCCTGTCTCTTATGGACAGACCTGGGATACTCCAGCCCAATACATAACACCATGTACACACACAAATAAAAATCACCACCCAACTTACGGTTTTGTGTCTGTGTTTCCCATCCTGCAGCTACTGTGGTGCCAACTGTCTCCGATGAGATAAACTTCCCTCCTCCTCCTAGAACATAAAAAGATCACCGGAAAAGTGGAGTAAGGCCTTCCCCCCTTTTTCAATGGCCTGGGTGATGTAGGCAATTGGGGACGATGCAAAGAACTCATGGTTGCATGATGGCCATTTGGAAAAATTTTAACTGAAGAATCAGAGGGGTCTGAACGATCAGAGCCCTACAGAGCTCAGGAGCAGTCTCCTGGGAGATCCTTATGTGAAGTTCTCTTGAAGATTCTCTTGAGATTATAACTGATTTCCCCTGGAGGAACTAGCAACTCTAGAGGGTGTGTGGACTCTATGGCACCATATCACTGCTGAGCTCCCAATTATGCTCCCTCTAAGCTGTGGCGTCCTGCAATGTTCCCTCTAAGCTGTGGAGTCTTGTGAGCAAAAATTCTACTTTGTGAGCTACTGGCACTAAAGTTGTGAGCACGTGATTTGGCTACTGCATAAATTAGTTTGCTCTGGAGCCCTCCTTCCTGAGCTAAGACAAAAATGTGTGAGCCGGAGGCTAAAAAACGGTGAGCTAGCACACACTAACTCAGCTTAGAGGGAACACTGCTTGTGAGCAAAAATTCTACTTTGTGAGCTACTGTTATTAAGGTTGTGAGCAAGTGATTTGGCTATTGCATAAATTAGCTTGCTCTGGAGCCCTCCTTCCTGAGCGAAGACAAAAGTGTGTGAGCCAGAGGCTAAAAAACTGTGAGCTAGCTCACACTAACTCAGCTTAGAGGGAACACTGATACCACTCCCAAATCTGCAAGAATTTCTCAAGCCAGAGTTGCCAACCCTCACATGAAGAATGGTGGATGCATTTAGGAAGAATGTCTTGTGGGGGCATCAGGAAAGTTTTGGGATAGCGGTAAAGGCATCACCTAAGGATTTCCCCTTATTTTTCCCTATTCTTAAAAAAAAAATGCTCTCCCCAATTCCCTTGAGAGATTCAAAATGCTGGCACACAGAGGCATGTCTTTCACTTGAAGACTTGCCCTGAATGTGGGAACTGAGTCCATTGCAAAGCATTTGTCCCACTTCAGAGCAAATCACCTGCAAGAATCCAAAACCCCAGATCAGGATACAGATCTCCACTGGCACTGGGAATCAAACCCATTCAGTTCAAAGGGGGATTGGAGGAATACTGTGATACAGATGTGGATGCACCTCCAGAGTCATTACATTGCTGGCAAGGCCCCTCTCCCACAGTAGAGTCTCCCACCAGTGGCCAGCCCTGTGTTGGCAACCTTAAGAGAGACAACCATACATGCTCAGAGCACTCTGGTAATTAGAAAGGTTACGGCTATATATTTACTATTAATAGGCATAACTTATATTATTGTATGTATGTGATGGGGGGTGGAGAACTGTGCATACTATAGTAATGGGGCTTTTTTGGTTGATAGTAATTGAGGATGTGGCTCTCTGTGTATTGCAGAGTGAGTAGCACTGGACTGGACCCCACATTATGTAAAAAGGCATTAAACTATGTTTTTTTTAAAAATGCCTGATGCATGCATGTATTTCTGGTCTGAAAAGCAAAAGCACTCCAAATGTTATTCTACGGCCCCGGTCACACGAGTGGATTTGGGCCGGGAGAGGGACGGTTCGGGGGCGGAGCAAACGGGCGCGATCCCACGGCAACATCTGGGAATCGTTGCCTGTCCGTCCCCGATCCGTCCCTCCCGCCCAAAACCCCGCACCAAAAAAGAACCACCTACCTAGGTGGTTCTTCGGAGAAGAGCGCCGCAAGCCCGGCCGTGGGATCGCCGGCGCAAGGACGCACCGGCGAATCCCCGGCTCCTGGCCAAACTGCGCATGTGTGAGCATGCGCAGTTCGCCAGCCTCCCCTTCACACCGTCGCTTTCTCCCCGGCATCTGATCGTGCCGGGGAGCAACGGCGCCGTGGCTCTGGGGATCCGTGGGATCCCGCCGCGGCGTCTCTAATTCGGTGTGGCTTTTAAAAGCCGCGCTTTGGGCGCTTTTTTCCCTGCCGTGTGGCAGGGACCACCAAAAATCAATCACTGTTTACTCTGAGAAAGGCAGGAAGGAAGAGAAAGACTTTACTTCTACTTCGTGGCTTCTTCCTTTCCATACCCCTCCCTACCCATTTCTGGTAATCAGAAATTGGGGGGGAAATGTGCTATCAACTACCCCAAGTCATCCCCCCCACCCCTGAATTTCACAACTGAAAACTCCTCAACCTCAGCACTTCCCCCTTTTTCTTTCTCTTTTGGTCTTGCATAACTCCATTTCAGAGAGGGCAAGGGTGGCTTGGTGCTTAACATCTAAAATGAGACGCCTCAGAGCTGGTGCTTTAGCTGTGTGGGTCTTGCTCCCTAAAACAAGGACAGTCTAGCTGAGATTGTCCTACAGTGAGGGAAAGGCAGCCAGCACATGCTCAGAGTCTCCTGTGGGGAAAGGGTGTATTAGTTATTTTACTGAATCACCAGATAAGGCTGTGCTAAGCCTGAAGCAGCTATCGAAAAACAAACAAACAAACAAAAACTCTGAAAACCCATGTCAAAAAGAAGCAAATACCTGCAAACAATTTACAAACAACTAAAAATAACAGTGGTACTAAAGAAAAGAAACAGGAAGAGCAGCATGGATTAATCATCTATAGAATAAGGAAGCAACCAGATTGTAAACAGGCAGCAACCAGTTTAAATAGCTTTCACAGACTATTTCTAAAACACAAGACAACCACAGGTTACCACAGCGTTTTTAACCACCAGTGGACCAAAAAGAAACAAAACATTTCTAAAAGTGGTTTGGCATGACATTAGAAGATGGCACCCTCCCTCTCACCAAAGTAATAAATCCATTGAAAAGCTAGCTGGCCCTGAATAGTGGCAAGTCAGTGGGGATAGGAATGTGCAAAACAGTGCTAAGTAGCCACAGGTGAAGGGATTGTGGTTGTGTACCAGATTCTGGTTACACAAGCAACAGAGGAGGGATCTCATTTTCTTTGTGAACTTCCCTGCCTTAAGGTTGGCAGCATTCAGACATCCACTTTAACTGCAAATAAACTAAAATGGGCAGGAACACAGTTTGTTCCAGGCTCACACATGTCTGGATCTTCCCCCTTTTCCTTCTTGCATGATGTGTAATGAAGGAGTGGCGGTTTAACCTGAATTTCCCCTCACAAATTGGGATTCGTAAATTGGGTGGAATCCTGTCAGGATCCTGGGTAGCAGAAGGGAAACCATCATTCCTTCATCACGTACCACGGGAGTGCCACGCCTAGTAAGCATCCAGTGACTGACTTTGCTGCTACAGGTTGAGGCCTGTAATAGGTGCTTTTACACACACTTTCAATCCACTTTCAATGCACTTTGTAACTGGATTTTACTGTGTGAAATGGCAAAATTCACTCACAAATGGTCGCTGAAGTGGATTGAAACGGTACTCTGAGATGAACAGTCCTGTCCTACAGGTTGAGGCCTGTAATAGGTGCTTTTACACACACTTTCAATCCACTTTCAATGCACTTTGTAACTGGATTTTACTGTGTGAAATGGCAAAATTCACTCACAAATGGTCGCTGAAGTGGATTGAAATGGCACTCTGAGATGAGCAGTCCTGTCCTTTAAATGAGACACCATTCAAAAGGAAGGAGGGAGGGAGGGAGGGAGGGAGGGAGGGAAGGAAGGAAGGAAGGAGAGACCTTGAACCAGCCTGTTGCTGCACTGCAGGCTTGACAGGGAGTAATAGTAACTTTAGGCTGAGCACATTCCCTCAGATCTGAGGCCTACAGAAAAAGACTAGTCCAGTTCCTTCTTCAGAACTGAAGCCTAGAACTAAGAACATTACATTTCAACTGTTGTTTGTTTGTTTGAAAGTTGTGTTTTATGGTTATAACTATTGTGAAAACAGCAGACACCATATGAGACACTTAACCATGAACTATTTATTTACCACCTCCCCCGCCCCTTCTGACCCCCCTAAAACTCCATCCACAAGATTAAGGGTAAAACTTCGTACAATTATCAAGGAAAGACTAATTTTATTCCTTCCTTTCTTCCAGTGACCTATACACAGAAAACACTCACTCTGACTATTCCTGGAAACAGTGTGTATCTTGCTGTCAGGCTCAGAGGTCTACAAAACTGCTGTAAAGTTGTGCTAGAACACACTGCTGAAAAAATGTGGTAAAACGTGATCGTTCGTAACCAGTTAGTGGAGATAAACCATTGACTGGGCTCAAGTGAGAGCTCTGAGGCTACTTGCTGAATTCCTATTGGGGGGGGGGAGCGGAAGGAAATTAAGAATTGAAGTATGCAAACAAATCCCTCTGAGGCACAACTTAACATTTGCATGTTTGAATGTAACTAATACCGCTGATAAAACGGTCTTCACTGCAATTCTAACCATTGTGATATAGCCACCGGTGGACATGATAAATTTTTTTTTACTCCACTGATCCAAACTCTGTCTTGAAAGATCATCCCCCAATAATCAGAACATTTTTAAAAAAACATTTCGGGAGAAAAAGCACCAACAGAGGAACAGCTGCTAGTTTCAGCCTGAATGACCCAAATCGGAAGATGTGGCCTGACCCTCCTTTGAACTATCAGTAGTCATATGAGCCTTTTCATGAAAAAGAAATGAGGAGAAACCTTGTCTGAGCTAGGGAAAACAGAGATGGCAGAGGAGCTGATGGCGTTGTCTGTTGCAGGATATGGGATAGGCTAGGATGGGTGGCCATCAAATGTGGGCCAAGCCCAGCTATGTGTGGGGAAAGGTGGAGGGAGCCCCCTTGTCTGCAATTACTGCAAGTTTTCTCTTGCTCATTCAGCATTTCCAAGTGGAGACTCGCAGCATTTTACACACAGGATGTCGAGGTTCAGCCCCATGCAGATAACTGCATGTGCTCAGATGCACGCATGGATGTCTCGTACATTGGTCCACTGAAGGAAGCAGATCCCCTGTCTGGAAAAGGATACCTACAGACAGGGGTCCACCCAGGAGTGGACCTCCAGCAGTAAGGAGCCCAGGGGGAGGGCACATGC